CCAGGTCGTTACAACCCGTTGATATGTTCCTGTCAGGAAACACCTTTGCCCCAGCATTACACCGAAACCAGGTCATTACAACCCGTGGTACGTTCCTGTTAGGGAACACTTTGAAGTTCCATTTCTGGAACTCTTCTTCTATTTTTACTTGTATCCTCATGAATCTTCTAAAGTTCCTTTGTTTCAGTTCCTTCTTCAACTCCTAGAGTTTACTAAACCTGCAAACATCACAGCACTAGAAAATCCTTATTAGATGGAAGTTTGCTCAATCATAACTACCATCATCAAAACCTCATATGGGTCAACAAGTTGCCCCTTTTTGATGATGACAAACTGAGCAAACTTCTGAGGATAACAAAGTAACTCAGAAGGTTAGTTTTTTCATTTATAAAAATAATAAAGAAAACTAAGCTAAATTAAAAGACTCCTACACATACATGACCTACATATGCATAGGATACTTACCTTATGAAGCTAACGTATGCAAACACATATTTACATAGTTACCTTCATGGTTCCTTAGCCATCATCATGCTTATCAACCATAACACTTATCATTGTTCTTGTTCCTCTATTGCTTATCATATATTACTCAAGTTCCTTACATATATACCTGTCATTACTCAGGTTCCTTGTACCCTGTTCCAAGCATAACTTGTTCTTTTTATGCACAACTAAACAAACACGTTAGATAGATAATCATCATTATTAGTTTACAATCATCAAAACCTAATTACTCAACAATATTCTTCTCAAACAAAGCACACCAGAACTTACTTGCTTCTACTACTACTACAACTAAGTAATTTAATTTCAATTTTCAAAGCTTCTTCACCTCTCTAAGCTCAACTCAATGGCTCAACTAGGCCCCCAAGCAAGGTGCAGGTTTGATTTGATTTGATTGTCTTTATAAAAGGGTTGTGAACGATCCGATCCGAATCGAGTTGAGTTTTAGTTTGCTCGAACTTTTGTTTGGGCTTGACTAGTTAAGGATTTGGCTTGTTCGAGCTTTGTTCACGAACATGCTCGTTTGTATTTCGGGTTTAAACTTGAGCTTGAACGAGCTTAATTAATTAAGCTTAACTAAATCAAATTAGCCCTGACTTATAAAAAAAAAGATTTCTTTTAAATTTTAATGGTCCACTATAACTTTGATGTATTAGGAACAAATTATGTGGCACCTTCAAAAATCGCCAATGTTGTTATCAACATTTACAGATCAAAAGCCAGCATCTTTGGATGAAATGCAAGGATTGAATCAACATCAAGACCTACCCTACACTACTACAAAATTGGCCAAAGAGACCCGTCCAAATAGGCCAAAGAGAGTGTCTTAGAGGCGGTCTCTAGCTAACCAGTATCTTTGGCAAAGAGACTCCTTCATTAGAGGCCGGCAGTCTTCATTTTTATAAAAATTGAGACCTGTCATCTATAATAGGCGGTCTCTTTGGGTAATTGTAGATCAAATAAATTAGAAGCGAAAGAGACTCGTGTTGTCAGATAAACAATATCTTTTTTAGTATTACAGAGACCTGTTATTTTACAAAGGCAATCTCTTGAAACATTTATTTTAAAAAAAAAGAAATTCCGAAAAAGCCAATTTATTCATTCAATTGTCAATTGATAAAGTCTATACATTTGTAAATACTTGGATACTATAATAGGTACATAATTCATATGCACTAATACTTAAATTTGACTAAAATGAAAACAAACATGTAAACAAAAAAAGCTATTTAATTACATATTTTGAATTATTTAGCATATACATAAATCTCTTTTACTACACCATTAAATCCCACCATTTTCGAGATTTCTGGAAAAACCCAGAAGTTATAGACCTCTAAAATTGTAGAAGATTGCTTCATTTTGTCACGTCCGGGTAAATAAATCAGATATCATCTAATTAACTCGTCGAATCTGGGTAGAAGTATTCAAATACAAAAAATTAGAAGTCATATGATAAGCATCAAAATTAATTTACAAAACTAATTAAAACAATAGTTGACACAAACAAATCTAAAAACTAAATTAAAACATAATAAAAGTATAAATGTAAAACATAATATACATAAATCTCTTTTACTACACCATTAAATCCCACCATTTTCGAGATATCTGGAAAAACCCAGAAGTTATAGACCTCTAAAATTGTAGAAGATTGCTTCATTTTGTCACGTCCGGGTAAATAAATCAGATATCATCTAATTAACTCGTCGAATCTGGGTAGAAGTATTCAAATACAAAAAATTAGAAGTCATATGATAAGCATCAAAATTAATTTACAAAACTAATTAAAACAATAGTTGACACAAACAAATCTAAAAACTAAATTAAAAACATAATAAAAGTATAAATGTAAAAAAAAAAAGTAGGAGAAAGAGGATCGGATATATAACAACTATTGTAAACAAGTATAAAATTCATGTGAAACTTTGAACATTAGAAAAAAACACGTTACTCATTTTCAAACATTAAACACAAGAAGCATTATAACATAAAATTCTAAAATTTCATAACACAAAATGTTTCTAGATCTTGAGAAATAATTAACATATAAGAATTAGCTCAAAACTAAAAACCCTAACCCAAAAAATTCAAGAATTTCAAAATCAAATTAAAAAACCTAGAAAATAAGTATACCCCGAAAAAAATACACTATCCCTACTAATTATGTTGAAAAAAACAAAAAAATAACGAAATCAAATTAATGTTTTTGCACCAGATCTATAAAGCTCGAGTGAATTTTCTTGTTATCTATAGTTTTTTTGGGATAGATATTAAAGATCTAACCCAAATAAACTTATAGAAAACAAGAAACTGAAGGAAAAAAACTCTATTTTTACGGCTCAGTAAAATAAAAAAAATTCGACCACCCATGAAACCCTAAAATTCGACCACATTCATGATTCTAAAATCCGACCACCCACGAAACCCTAAAATTCGACTACCTTCACGATTTGCAAAATCTGACCACCCACAAATCCTTAAAATCCGACCATCTCCACAAAACCCTAAAATCGAACCACCTTACAAAATTCGACCACGGCAACAACGAAGATTGGTGCAATGTTACAAGGGATTGTAGGATAGCTGAAGTAGGGTAACGATGGTAGTGAAACCAAAAAAGGGGGGTTAGGAAAGGGGAGGGGTCATGATGCGGTGGTGGCTGATGCGGTGGTGGGGAGCTGGGAATGCGGTGGTGGGGAGGTGGGAAGGGAAAATTATTTTTGTTTTTTTTTAAAAAAAATAAAAATAAAATTGGAGCAATTAGAAGGTGAAATGTGACAAGTCCACCTTCTAAAACAAGTAACCAATTTCAAAAACCGGTAAAAGGCTTGTTTTAAGAAGATGGGGGGTTAAATATGGGATTATTCTGGGAATTCGAAAAGGTGAGATTGTTTTGAGTAGATAAGGCAAAGGTGGGATTGTTAGTTTCCACTTTTCCTAAAATCTTGGCTAAACCTTTTACTTGTATTACATTTTTAACCCACGTGATGCGAACAAATTAATATCGGTCGAGCTTGTGTTAAACCATGAAACGATTATTATTTTATGATATTTGTCTGGTCAAACAATAAGCATATAGATAAAATTAATTATTTCATAACATTGAGGAGTGATAGATAGAGCATTTATAATCAACTCTGAGCCTCAACCATCAGTTTAAGCTTTTGATTGAGTTGACTATTTAACATGGTATCAGAATTAATGTGACACTAAAATCACAAGTTCGAATGTTATCTACCACCTCCTTTTTATATTGGAAATATAAACATTATTGAGTATGGCGGAGCCCATGCTTGCATCGTACACTTCAAGCCCAAAAGGTTATCGAGTGAGGAGGCATGATAGAGGGTATAAACCAACCCTAAGTCTCCGAACCAACCCTAAGAGGCATGGGTTCTAAACTGTGGAGATAAGGGTGATCTCCGAACCATGACATGATTACTTCAAATTTTAGGATCTGCTAGCTCAGGTTGAACTTATGGCTGTGAATCATGTGATGCAAGGTTAATACAATTAATAACAAGCTCGACCGAATTGCGTTAAAAAAAGTACTACCTCTGTTTCATATTATTTAATTGCAATAGTAGTAAAAGGGGCTGTAAATAATATAAAGTAGAGGTAGTTAAAAGTTTACCCAAGATAATTGCTTTGTCTTCAGTAACTGAAATGATCGTTATATATAGTGATAGTGTTCAAAATTGTCACATGAGTCACATCAGATGAGCATATATACTCATCATCAACAGGGTGTAGATTCAACTCTTGCATCCAAAGATGCAGCCTTTTGATTTTGATAAGTAAATGTTGATAACAAATAAACTATTGTATATCATTTGGAATCTAATGTTTTGAGTATATGCTCATAAAATTCTTTTCATTTGGTACATGTAATTAAAATGTATGAACATTCAACACAAAATCCTGATGATTAGGTTTATTTTTTGAATTTTTGGATTATTTTTTTTTTTGGTGTCTATTTATTTTTAAGAAAAAAAAAACAAATTCATTAATATATAAATTAAGGTGGATAATGAGAACTAGGAACTGATTTGGACTGTCCATTGTGTTTCATCGAATCATTTATAGCATGATAAAATTCGAAACACTATGAAATGGGTCTGGGCAACCCGAACAAGGAGGAGGAGAGTTTGGACCAATGTACAAACAAGGCTTTGGAGCTTCCATACTAAAACCAATTGGCAATAGTAGGAGTAACTCCTTTATCTTATAAAGTGGAACCACCTCTCCTCTTTCTCCAATGTGGGACACTCACAAGTGGGATACAATGGGTTTCAACATAGCATTTTTGTAATTACGCATCTTTTCAAACTTTTTTTTTTAGTTTATTCAATTTAAAGCAATTTCATTTTTTTTTTTACTGAGTTTAATTTACTTTTAACAATAAATTAATGAAATATTTGTCAAAATGAAAACAACAATATCCTAAAATGAAACTATTATTATAGATTCACAAAAAAAGGAGTATAAAGTAGACACCAAGACAATAATATACTTGTATTAAGTACTCATCAAGTAACAACGTTACAACACTCCAATAAGTTTATTATATGGTTACAATAGATAAGATGGTCAAAATGCCACTTTGTAGTAGATAAAGTATTTGGCTTATTTAAAACAAAGATACATAGTTTGCAATACGACATATATATAGTCAATATAGATGACAGTCGTAGAATTGAAATACATAACCACCGTAATTTTTGCAGGAAGTTGGAGGTTAGCTAGCTATGAAAATAGCTAAACTCTTTACAACCGTACTTAATAGCATGATCATTCCTGATCAAATGGACACGGAAACCAATTAAAAAATCATTAGTAAATATGAAAAATATATTTCAAGTATGATTATAACTATAATTTAATTACTTCCTTCGTTAAGTATCAGTTGTAACTTTTTAGATATTATTTGTGAGATTTATAATATATTTCAAAGTAACAATTAATACTTAACGGAGGTAATATCATTTTCTGATAGCTTATTATATATGTCTTACCAGTTTTTTGTAGAAGATACCAAGAGATTCGAGATAGATGGAGTGCCTTCCAAACACTCCGATCATAGGGCCGTCAAGGAGTGGCGATGCAAAATCGTGAGCGCAACCTTGGATTGCCGTTCCTTTTCCATATGGTCCATATCCATTTGGACATAAATTTGTGTGGATTTTCATTGTGGCAATCACACAATTATTGCCTAGATAATTGTAGTTTCCATAGGTGCCGCTAATTCGAGTTATATTTTCACCATCCTTGAGTACAATCTATATAAACGCATACAAATAAAAAATTAGGGTTCTGAAAAGAAAAATAAAAATATGCTCCGCAATTTTGTAAACATGAAGATCTTTATAGTATGCATTTACCTTGGATTCATTTCCTCCATTCCCACCAAATACCTTGGTGTAGGTGCATCCATTTGGCTTTGCAACAACGAACCCAATTGCATCCACGATAAATCCATGCCTTATTATTACTTCTTTGATGCTTTCACACTCTTCAAGTTTGAAGCTATAATTTTCAGCATATTGCGAACCATAAGGTCCGCACTTCTTAGTCACCCATTTTTGCGGGTTATTCTGCCAAGTGAAATATATATATATATATATATATATATATATATATATATATATATATATATATATATATATATATATATATATATATATATATATATATATATATATATATATATATATTTCATGCACATATTTTGGCATAAAAAAAGCGCTAGTAAAGTTACTTCGTATAACTTAAGGTAATAAGCTGCACTCAATCCGATCACTATAAATTTTGAAAAATAACGGTATCATATATAAGTATTATAACTTTCTTTACAATTGAGAGTCAGGGATAGCCCATGTGATTAGACCTCACCTCTTGATTTTAGATGATCCTGGAATCGATTCTCATCACCCGCCCTTAAGCTTTTTTAGATGTTTCCCAATTCCATGATAGTCATAACACTTAATTTTGAATTTATTTTTTTTGTTGGTCAAGCTTTTTAAAAAAATGAATGTCCTTTTATAAAAATTCTTTTTTTTTTAAGAAATAATTCGAAAAATAAATTAGCAATTAAATAATTAAAGCAAGAACACGGTACAAATCAAGGATATTTTATAGTGGTAGTTTGAAATATATTACTATCATATTGTTTGATCCAGCCACAGTTAATCTTTATGATTGACGATATTCGTCAATCTAATGGCATAATTGTAATATTGAAGAGCAATTTCCATGCCACATCATGAGTGAAGATAACGCTGATTTAACGACCGTTTGTCGTTACTTCACCAACACCACCATTAAAATTCCCTCTATTGAAAAGCTTCCTGCTTCTTCCTCCATTCAAGCTTCCCCGACCTCGACCACCATTGAAGCTTCCCGACCTTAACCACCATTAAATTAAAGCTTCCCCGACCTCGACTACCATTGAAGCTTTCCCAATCTCCACCCACCTTCCCCAATTTCAAACGAAAACCCTATGAATGAAAGGTGAAATTAAGGGCATGGTCAACCCCAAAGGCTAGGGGTGACTATGTCCTCCATTAAAGCTCCATCAATTGAGCTTGATTTTTGAAAATGTAGAAAAAATTAATGTCAGCGGCGAAAGGAGATGAGATGGAAAATGTCAGTGGTTGTGATGGTGGTTGTTGTGAAGAAATGAGGTTGAAAATTTTGGAGTTGAAGTACCATTGTTGATGTGAGTGAGAGGAGTGAGGAGAGTGAAAGTACTAGCAAAGAGGACAAGGGAAGGAAGAAGCTAAACTAACAGACATCCTAGCAAATTTACAAACATATCCCAATTAATTCATTAAAGTGTCAATTTTACCCTTATGATTAACATATTATGTCAATCATAAAGATTAATTTGTATTTCCTCATATTGTTTTACAGATAAAACAATATGATCGGTTTATTTTTTGACTTTAATATTGCACGTTATATTAGTTATATACTTATATCTCATCCGATCAGTACAAAATTTTAAAGTAATTTAAGGAAGAACATGGTACAAAAGAGTAAAAAGTAGATGAGTTTTACCTTTTCAGCATAGAGTCCAATGGAAACAAGGTTGTCCTGAGCAGTTCCAAAGAAACCAACAATGCGGTCATTTTGAGGCAATGGCATCGGAGATTTAAAGTCGCAGCCTCCCTTAAGTTGGTCAGTTCCGTACGGCCCGTGTCCGCGAGGATGCAAAGTAGTATGGATCCTCATTTGGGATATCAATGAATTCTTAGCAATCCCACTTATTCCAGTTATGTATTCTCCAATTTGGAGCTTGATCTTTTAAAAAACAAAAACAAATAAATAAACCGTATCATTATTATATTATTGGAAAAAAATAAGTAAAAGGAAAAGAAAAGGACATTTTTACGATGGTCGTTTGAAATATGACTATCTTATTATTTTAATGATAAACAATATAAGCGATCTATTTTTTCACACTATAAATTGGACACAATTAGTATTCTAATTTCTACAATGCAAATATAATTTTTGTAAATTTTAATCCAACATAAAATAAATATTTTTTGAGAAACTATAAAATAAGAGTAAAAGTTACATAAATAAAATTAAAAATATGATAAATTAAAAAAATGTTGATAATAATATATTATAGCAAAAATAGAGTAATATAATTAATAACTTGGATAAAAATACTTTAATTATGCACTAAAATATTATGATAGTCATATATCAAACGACCACTATAGAATTTTCAAAAAGAAAATAATATTATTACTTTTCGTTTCAGATTATTTATAACAGTTTGACATTTTTTTAATTTATATTTTATGTTAAATCGTTGTAAATGATTTGAAGTGGTGGTAATAACTGTTATAAGTTTAATTGAAAGTTTATCCATATCAACATATATAGACACGGTATGACCTTGTATTGCTGTCCGCCATTGCCACCAAACTGGGTAGTATCGGATTGTCCATTGGCGTCGGTTATGGTGAGGCCGATCGCATCCACAATGAACCCCGACCTTATTACTACTTCTGTGATTCTATCAGATCCTTGGAGCATCAACGAGAAGTTTTGTACAGCTTCCTTGTCACCATATGGTCCGTACTTCTGCATAAATAAATTAAAACAAAGTTTATAAGTATCTATTTTAGTATAAGAAACACATACAAATGAATTAAGACAGGCAAAAATTGAAGTAAGATTATACGTACCTGGATTTGAGCCATAATCTTTGATTACAAATTAAGGCAAAGCTTAGCTAGTACTTGTACGTTTACAGTTTTGAGTGTAGTTAATAATAAGTTGTAGCAATGATTTATTTATATAGTGTGAGAAAGGGACCAAGAATAAATTCTGTCGTGCCAAAACACCGTATATTTTTGCAAGCAAATCCACAAAAGGGACCAAGAATAAATTCTGTCGTGCCAAAACACCGTATATTTTTGCAAGCGAATCCACAAAATCAAGTAAGTTTTGCGATTTTATTTATCAAGATGATAGACTTGTATTTTCTCAATTATTTGTGCAATATATGAATGAGCAATTTCCACATATAATAAGACGTGGACACTGATAATGAAATGGAGAGAATGTTAATGTGGTCAATTGGTCCTTTACCCAAATCAAAGGGACGGACAATGTATATTAAATAGAGATCAAAAGTGGCATCTTCCTTTTAATCAAACAGTTTTGGAGTGAAAAAATGCGTGTTTTGAACGCAACAGATGTAACGTTACAAATCTTATACAAATTTAGATGGGTTGATTATAAAATGACTACCATTATACAATCGATATATTTTTAATGTCGAAATTAATAATAATGCGCTTATCTAATTTTTTTTCTTGATGAATTTAACAAATTTGAAATAATTTTGGATTTTTTTTTTATCAATACTATAATTGATTGATGAAATTTAATTTTCATTAAAACTGAAATTTAAAAAAAAAAAAAGTAATAGAGTGATTACGAATATATATATATATTTGAAAAACATTGATGCTTAATTTGATATAAAAAATTATTCACGAACAACCAATAAAAAAAATAGTATTATGATAGTCATTTTAAGGATAACTACCTTAAAATTTACATATTTAGATAATATAAATGGAGTAAGAATTTAATCTAAGAGAAATAAAAGTAAAATCCATGAATATAAATACATGATGCATAATGTGCATGTCAAAAGATAAATATTCTTTGTATATAAGAATCGTGGATATTGTGGGCAATTGGGAAAATAACTTAGACCCTATTCTTTTGGATTGAAATTTACTAAACTGAAACGATATAAGCCAAACGGAACTACACTGAAATGAGTTGAACTAAGCTAAAATTAACTAAAAAAAATTGAAAATAAATAAATATTAATAATAATAGTATTGGGGCATGTGCTGCTACTCATATTTTTATTCGGATTAGTTTTTGATACGTAAAGGATCGGAGTAGGTGTCCAGATACTATATCAACTTCCCACTTATAATAATAACAATAATGAACTGAAATGACCTGAACTGAACTTAAAAGTCCAGAATAGTAGGGTCGTATTTGGTTATGTTCCGTACAATAATGCACAATAATTTTTAAATTTTCTTACATTTAATTATAAAACATAAATTTATATAATAGTATGATGGCTCTATGGTAAAAGAGCCTATTAGCAAAATGGTCTGCCAAAACAACCAAAAATTAAAATCACTTCTTTTGGCAAGCCTGCTATAAAGCTCTTCCTACAAGCTAGAGACTAGAGAGGCTATCGATAAGAGAGGCCTTTCTTTTACTCCACTATGATTGAAACCCCATGCCATGTTCTTAGACTTAACCCTAGAGCCTTTGAGATTTGGTTTGCCTTTGATCACTGATATGAAATAATAGTGAAAAATTCTACCTCTCTTGGAACCTTCAAAATTTAGTAGCTTAATTGTTATTTTAGATTTTGCTTACAAGTTTTTACCTTTCACTTGAAAGGGTTTTTCTTGTTTTAAGCGGTTAGGATTTATTTCCTTATTTTAATCTTCTATTTTGATTAGTTTTTAAGTTTAAGATTAAGTTTAGGAAATTTTATCTTTTAAATAGTTCTATATTTATTAGAAGTGTGTTTAGGAATTTGATTAGTTGATTTTATCTAGGACTTCTAATGTAATTAGAAATCTTAGTACTTATTTGTAGCCTATATAATGGCATTTAGGCTCTTAATAAAAATCAGTTTTTTTTCAAATTGAAATTTATAAAGGTTTACGTAAGCTTGTGCTTGTGTATTCTTGGCCTAGTTTAGGTTTTAAGCTCGTGTTGCTTAGCGTTTCTTGACCAAGACTCAAGATTCCAAACCTTTCAACCGTGATTGAAGGTTATATCCATCAAAATTCATATCAATTTGGTGTGGCTGCTGTTTGACGAGGGACGAGTTTGACAATTTGTGTCAAAAAACTCAGTTTCGGATGTCATATTGATCGACTTGATTCTCCTTCGTTTCTAAAGATTTTGAGGTTATTTTTTTTTTCAAATTGGTTAATTTTTTGTCTAGTTTTCACCTGCAAAATTTGAGAACTTTTCGAGAAGCATAGCTATTCAACTGGGTTCGTTCTTTACACCTGGTCAAAAATCAAATTAATCTGCCATTGTTGAGAAAAAAATAAACTGCGATTACTTGGCTGGGAATTTTTTTCCGAATTTTTGGTCGAGTATTTTAGACAGATAGGGCTAGCAGTATAAAAAGTTTCAGAATTTTTCGAGGTGTTTTCATTGGGTTTTGGTCCTCGTACTTTCGATCAATTTCTGGACTGGTTTTGTGTGTTTACTCATTAACTTAAACATGGTGAATCAAGCTGAATTTGCGGCATTGTTGGATGAGCTCAAGAAGATTAATGCTCGGTTGGATAAGTCGGAAGAAGTTACTGCTTTACTCCAGCAAGAACTACATAACCGTGAACCACCTCCGCTCATACGCAATCACATAGTGGAGGAGATAAAGCTTGCTGATTTGCCTAGCTTTGACAGTGATGGTGATCCAGACTTATACTTGGATTGGGAGAGGAGAATGGAACGTATATTTGCACACAAAAATCTGGACGATCACAAACATTTCAATCACGCTATCCTCAAGATCACAAGGTATGCTTCCCTTTGGTTTGATTCCATGCAAAATAACCGTGAAAGAGAAGGTAAGCCACAACTCTTTACTTGGACAGATTTAAAGACTAAGATGAAAAAACGATTTGTTCCACGATCTTATAAGCAAGACTTGTATTTGAAATTAAATTCTTTGACACAAGGATATATGTCGGTTGCTAATTATATCAAAGAATTCGAAAGACTTTATATTGCTTGAGATTGCAAGGATGAAGAGGAACAAAAGATTGCAAAATTTGTGATTGGTTTGAATACTTCTCTACGTAATCAAGTCGAAGTACTACCCTTGACTACTTTTGATGATGTTTGTATGATTGCTTGCAAGTTAGAGAAGCAAAAGAAGCCATACCCTTCTATTAAGCCGCAAACCGAAAATTATGATATTGCTCCAAGTTCATTAGATGCCACGTCTAAGCATGACAAACTTGTGTCAAACTTAAAGAAAGGGCAATCTTCTCTGCCTCAAAGTCAACAAAAGATGAAACAAATTGTTTGTTTTAAGTGTCAGGGCATGGGGAATCTTGCTAAGCAATGTCCAAACAAGGCACTTATTACTAAGGAGGAATACTACACGTTTTTATCTCAAAACGTGGATGAATCGGATGTGCTTGAACAACAACACCAACAAGCTTTAGTTAAAGACAAATCGCAAGATGTGACGGATTCTTATTTTTGGGAAAATCAACAGGTTTGCTATGCATAAAATGAGCCTAAGAGCTTGATTATAAGGAGGTCTTTATTAGCCACGCTTGATGAGAAAGAAGATGAGCAAAGGTCTAATCTTTTCCATTCTAAGTGCCTAATTAATGGTAAAGTTTGATCTTTTATAATTGATAGTGGCTCTTGTACAAATGCTTGTGCTTTGTCTATGGTGGATTCGCTTCAATTACCTACAAGAAAGCACCCTCAGTCATACAAATTGAGTTGGTTTAATGATGACAATGGTGTGTGGGTTAAAAAACAAGCTTTGATTGGTTTTAAAGTAGGTGACTATGTGGATCAAATTTGGTGTGATGTCGTGCCAATGACCGCATGTTCTTTGCTTCTTGGACGACCTTGGCAAAGTGATAGACACGTTTTTCACAATGGCAAGACTAATGTCTATTCGGTTCTAATTGGAGACAAGCGTTTAGCCTTGCATCCCTTACCTCCTATACGTCCACCTATGCCTAAAGAACAAAAAGGAGGCGTTGCTCATGTGTGTTTTAGCTCGTGCCATCAGGAGGTGCTTGATTGTTCAAACGATAAGAGAGAACGAAGGGACAAATTGCTCCAAATGCGCAAAGGAACTAATCTGCAAGAGGGATCGAAAGTGTGGTTGTCCTTAAATGCTCAACGTATGTCCTTAAATGCTCAACGTATGCATATTGATCACAAGAATGGTGAACCAATGGATGAGGGACCGTTTGACATTGTTGAGAAGGTTGGCTATGAAACATTCAAGGTTCTTCTAGGGAATGGAGTTTGTGCTACTCTTCCTTCGTCCGATTTGGTACCTTGCTTTGAGGATGAAACTTGAGGTCAAGTTTCTTTTCAAGAGGGGGAGTATGATATGAAATAATAGTGAAAAATCCTACCTCTCTTGGAACCTTCGAAATTTAGTAGCTTAATTGTTATTTTAGATTTTGCTTACAAGTTTTTACCTTTCACTTGAAAGGGTTTTTCTTGTTTTAAGCGGTTAGGATTTATTTCCTTATTTTAATCTTTTATTTTGATTAGTTTTTAAGTTTAAGATTAAGTTTAGGAAATTTTATCTTTTAAATAGTTCTATCTTTATTAGAAGTGTGTTTAGGAATTTGACTAGTTGATTTTATCTAGGACTTCTAATGTAATTAGAAATCTTAGTACTTATTTGTAGCCTATATAATAGCATTTAGGCTCTTAATAAAAATAAGTTTTTTTCAAATTGAAATTTATAAAAGATTTATAAAAGCTTTACGTAAGCTTGTGCTTGTGTATTCTTGGCCTAGTTTAGGTTTTAAACTCGTGTTGCTTAGTGTTTCTTGACCGAGACTCAAGATTCCAAACCTTTCAACTGCGATTGAAGGTTATATCCATCAAAATTCATATCAATCACCCTAATTAACCTTAATCTCCTAATCCAAGATAGGATTGGCAGCGCAAGAAGGTTTCATTAGGAGGATGCTAACTTTGCTGAGTACCTTTCTATTTTGGCAAATGTGG